GCCCCCAAGTGTAGTTCGGCGCGCGTCACATTATAGTGTCTACGTGGATGGAACAACATTGATGTGGAGTGTAGAGTATGCAAAGTTCCTCTTGTCTATAGAATAGTTTGTAGTAGATGTAGGTTCGTCGTTGACATTCTAGGTCTTACTAGTACGTCTTTACGTTCTGTTATATATTCTACGTCAGTCCGTTAGTTTTACGACTGGGCAGAAATTAAAAGGTTTTTATTCGTGTCTGTATGAAAATATAGCACTTTCTTTACATTAATCTGTATATACATTTTTTAATACCAAAAAACGTGTACTACGCTGTACTTAAGAAGAGTACTGGGAATTGGTTCAACAAATACTTTAATGAGTTGAACATTTCTTCGTTCTTGGTAATCCACACGCAAAACTAGAGTACAATCTCTAAGTACTGAACTATTGTAATAGTGTGCAATGTAAGTAATAATGCCCTTAAGGTCTTTATAATTTGAATAAGAACCTGTTATGAAGTCGTGATCTAACTTCCCAGAAGAAAAGAAACAAATCCCTTTTATAGCCATTGATTCTTGTTCAAAATACATGAACAAAATTATTTTTTGAAAGTCGATTCTCACTGTAATGAAGCCAAAGCCTAAAAAGTTTCACACATTTTGGAAACCAGGCAGAAAACGATTTCCCAAAGTCGTTCTGCGTAAATTCACTCTATGTGCTGTGGGATCCATTTATTTATGGTTGGAGTACGATTTGAACATTTTTATTTGGAAACTTCTGAAGTCGCAGTGAAACAGGTCCAGGATTTGTAGTGCAGCTTACTTGACTATACTTAGAATAATATAAATGGAATATGACAGCCTAGCATGTCCTGCTGCGTCCTTCCTATTTGAACTGGTAAACTGGTTTCAATGTATGTTCCAATTCAATCCAGTTTTTACTAAAGTAATTCTTGTTTTGAAGGTATTTAGGACCACTATATCATTTGTGAAGAATCAGTGACGTAATATACTGCTGCTACTGATTGAGAATACCATTATTATAAGTCACCACCCACCAACAATGAGCCGAAATTGACGAACACAAATACAGAATATAGAGATTTTATTGTGTCTATCATTCCAGCATTCAACCACTACTCTATCTAAAACCACAATGATCGTATCCAATAGAGAATTCTTAATAAGGTCCGTGGTCCGTGGGTCCTCTGCGCAATATTATTATTCGCGTTGGGTCCAACGGTTAATATTATAACTTCAGCGATATATTCCGCGGAATTCATGGCCGTACATTCTTGAGTCGGTGAGTTTGTGAAACAAATTATTCTTCAAGTTAAGTCTTGCGAAACTATGGGACAAGTCACGATGACAAAGTTCTCAGCTTAGATTTTATATGGCTTGTTGCTTTTTATATTATCGTGTTGTTTATGGAGAATCAAGGTTATTAGGGAGATTATGATTTTGTAATGACTGTGTAAAATATTGTATTTGAGTCTTCTCCTCCTGGTAGCTTGTGAAACACGTACTCAGCCTTACTTTTGAAACAAATGACACGAATACGTACTATTTTTTAAAAGGACATTTTCATTTCCCTTCTGCTGCAGGCCTTGCGAAAACATTACGCAAATGAAAACCACACACGGCTTAATATAAAAACATTTTGTACCAGTTAACGTACAAAAAATATACACGTACCGACCGACATCTTTTCATATCATATCATATTTGCAAAGTAAACAACGTTACGCAAGACCCAGATTTTTGCACACGCGACAAAACACCGCACAAAAAGGTAAGGCTCCCACAATGCGAGCCATGCTAATATTTTACACCAATAAGGGAAACATTCGTGGTGAGGTAAAAACAATAAGCTTTTAAAGGGGCAGGCTCGCTTACGAACAATTTACGCTCGCCGACCGAGCCACTGTATAATTTTTGCATGAAGTCGGCCCTACGCTTCCGTGCCCGTTTCTGCAATCTTTATAAACGGAAGCAGTGGTTATTTTTTTAGGGTAATATGCGTGGCATTAAATACGAGCCCTTTGAGCCGGTCTTGTTTGTGCTAGCATTTTTTTTGGTTTGTTCCAGTGAGCTCCCTAATGTTTTTGAGTAACCTTGAGCGAGAGTGGCCATCTAAATTATAAAAGCTTTTTTTGAATTCAGGTTATTTTAAGGGCTTAAACTGACGTGGCATTAATTGAGTTTTTATGAGTGTTCTGTCTGTGCTTAAGATAGGCTTTTTTGTACTATAGTTAATTTGTAATCGTTTGTTAGTTATAATAATGCGCTTACGTTTATGTGTTTAGTTTGAGGAAGTGCTAATTTAGGGTAACACTTAGTCATCGTGAGTTCCGGTTCTGTTCCTGAAAAATTGTTCATTACATAATATGCTCGATATTCACATAAGACTTACAGTAAATTACATGGAGATAATTTCATTAAACTAGAAATCATATTATAGCAGAGGCCCAATTACCCTCCTCTTCCCCAATCATCCCAATTCCTGAATCCCCAACGATACTCAAACTCCTAATCCCCAAAATGCCAATGTAACGCACTTGTAACGCCTCTGCTGTTTCAGGTGTCTATGGGCGACGCTGATTGCTTACCATCAGGTGATCCGTCTGATCGTTTGGCATATGCCATAAAAAAAATGTAAATTCATGTTTCTCATTACAAGTTTTCTTGAAAATATCTCAATTTTAAGAAAACAAAAATATTTCACATAAATCATAAACCAAGTCGATTACAATCAAATCGAACAGCTATCTTAGGAAATAATTCACATGTCAGCATCGCTCCTCGAATCGATACGAGCTACAATCGGCGATGCGATACAAAATGCATTGGCAACGCAATATATTGCTTGAGCGTGATTTGGCTAAAATATAATTCGATTTGGGCGAGCAATAGGTTCCCGACACGGCGTGCCTATACCAAATGTTGAATAGGACACGATTGTGGATGTTTCGATTAAAGTTATCTTGTTTGTGTATAATATAATCTTATTAGGAAGTGTGGTAGAACTAGTTAGTACTTTTGTGTCACGGTTATTGTAATCGTTTAACAAATTAAGAAGGTGTTTTATCCTGTGTAAAAATGTACGGTTGTGTTTATCTATATTTGTAGTCGTGGTTCCCTTAGGAATGTGATCATCCTAGCATCACCCTGGATCCGAAGAATTGTCTCAATCGACTCTTATCAGCGGCCATTTGCATTGTGGTGTGGACCAGTGGTCCTTGGGCTGGTTAGACTATCTGGTTGGAGATCGGCCCCTTGCCCTTTTGTCCTAAACATTTCCTACAACAATAAGTTCCTCTAAGCTATTTTCACTTTTAGTTCTCAAGATGATATATTTTTGTCTTTCTTGATGATCATACATTAATCCTTATCTATAAAGTTACCGTCTAAAGTAATTGACATTGAAAACCTAATTCCATTTCCAGTCATCATTATCTAGGAGAAACTTTCAAGTCTAAAAAAAAAGTAATCTACCCAGCTCACAAAAAATGCTTATTCCATGAAACACCCACAGGCTACCCTTTAGGATAAAGGGAGGGACCACGCGACCTATTCGAAAACACCTCCCACACAAAATCCAGTGGAATAGTTAAGTTGGAGTATAATCTGGAGTATTTTAATTAAACGGTGAGAGTTCCCAATCTGATGGTTAACTTTATTCATTAGGGTTGTCACTGACAATTCGGGGCGGCGCGCAACTTTCTCGTGTCACACATACTTTCGATCACTTTCCTGCCTTTTATTAAAGGTTTTAAAGTTTTTGCAGTTCGACGTAATTGAATCGGGTTTCATATTTCAAAAGCTTTTTCTAGCATACATGTTTATGGGATATGGGGCCTTTGTAACAGTAATTCTTTTTTCGATATGATCATAACATCATCACGCCTTTTATTCCCGAAGGGGTAGGCAGGGGTGCACATTATGCCACTGGACAATGTAACACCCACTTTTCACTATTTATGTTATGGGTCCTATGTAATAGGGTGTGAGCCTATTGCCATATACCGATCAATTCGATATGATCATGGTTTTTATTGGCCTGTTTGAAATAAATTCATATTGTTTATGAAGGTTTTAAAAAGCCGTCGTTCATAAATGTCCTCTGTGTCATAGTCATAGTTACCCCTATTCTATAATAGGCGAATTTACAATAAAAGCAACTAGAAATAGCACAAACATTTTATTAAAAATGTCATTCATAATTCTAAAAAAACACGTGATTTGAGACAACAATGTGAGACTATATGACGCACTCATACAAACAAGATTAATACTGCGTTGACCGCACACGCAAGTCTATGTACGGCCGTTTATTTTCTAAAACAAATTTATTCCACGTCTGACAAAACCACCAACTCTATTATTAATGTTTATGACTTTATATATAATGGAACACCGAATAAACAGTTTTGTTTAGATTCTAAACAAACGTTTTGTTCTTTAAATCTGCGGTCTCTCCGTTTTTGGTCCTATTTTATAGTGCTTTTGATATCAACTGTTCCGTTCTAATTCAAGTAATATAAAGCACATATAGACATGGAAGCAAATGGCATTCAGATAATCGCAAACAATCGCAAACAGAGGTACCCGTGGACCCCAAACTAGGTACAGCCTGTATCTTGGTGGCCCAATGGTAAAGGTTTAGACTAGTTAGTTCTCGCATCATGGTTGTGACTCAGTGCAACAACATTAAATAATGAACTGACCATTAATATGAAAATAATAAACAAATCTTAAGTATCAAATAAAAATGACTAGAGAATAAGACAAATGCAAGTAGTAGATATAACAAAGCATGTAAACATGATGTATTGATGAATAACCCATTTCATTGTGAAACTCAATCATTTTACTATTTTTGGAATAATAATATATCAAAATAATTGATTGGTTTTTTAATATGATTTATTGGTTTATTAATAGTATTGTGACGTCGTTCATCAATTTAGTTTTACAAAGTGCAATTGTTATATGTTACCTATACATAGTTACATCACAATTCTACTTGGTGGAACTCCAAAATTGTAGACACCGTCTGTAGAGCGCACGCCAGATGATTTGTAGTAATGCTAACAATGTCAGCACACTGCATCCGAAGAACACGCTGAACATCCCACCTAGCTGAGCTGCAATACAGAATACAAAGTTTTACTAGAGTGGTACTTTTTTATATACAATAGTTTAAAATAAATTAGGTACTTATTGCTAATCATAGAATTTTCTCTTAAACTGTCAAACACCAAGCGGTCACCGGTGACCGCAACCTATTGTTCTATAATTGTGTCTACAAAACCGGTACTCGACGAGTTAAATAGTCCACAATTCCACATCATAAACCTTTTATAACCAATCGACCACGAGTACTATATTTAGAATTACATGAATGAAAATGTTGGATCCTATCATTGATTGTAAATATTTTTAACCTTACCATAGATTAACTAAATGTCCTATTATGAAAAGTTCACAACATTTGTTCATACAAAAGTGATTTCCAACCGTGAGTGAGTGAGTTAGTGGAGAGCGGTTAAATTACGTTTACAATCATCTGAAAAACTCATCAAAATCTGTTCAGATAATCGCGCACAACCATACATACATACATATATACAGGTCAAACTGCGAACCTCCATTGTTGAAGTCGGTTAAGAATCAGTACCAGATATATCGATACTTACAGAACAAATCTATGTAGTCGTAGTATGTCCAGCGCTCCACCGTGGGTCGCTTGCGACTCTGTATGAACACCCGCACTACTGTCACTTTCTTGAAGTTCAAGCCTTGGCTATTATAGCAAAGAAGAATACATTAATCGTACCAATAATTATTTAAGTAAAACTTAAATCAATATTTGAATAGCGCAGAATTAATGGTCATCGTGGTCATTGGTCTAGACAGCGATCATCTGTTTTAACAAAGATATCTAGTCAAGATCCAACAGCTATTAAGTTGTTTAGTTCATAAACGATATAAATATAAACACGGACATGCATAGATATGTCATTATTAAACTGTCAAACACCAAGCGGTCACCGGCGACCGCAACCTATTATTCTATAATTGTGTCTATAATGACGGTACTCAACGAGTTAAACCGTAATATCATATCGTGAATTTGACATGACAAACAATGATACTCATTGGTTATCACCAACAAGAGCAATACATCAAAGTGTTGAATAGAGGCATCAATCTTAACAGCACATAATTCTACTGTTGAACTTACTAGAATGGTTCTACAGTGCTCACTGTCTCGTCGAGGACAAACCTCGAGGCTTTCATAGTGGGCTTCTTGGTGTCACACGTCATAGGACAGTCGGTGCTCAAGGCGTCAAACGCAACTGGAAATATAAACATACGTACAGACCACCTTTCCTAAATAACCGCAACTTCTGTAAGCGTAATTATCTCTCACAAAAACACAGAAATAATTGATGATGATATACAAATTGGCTCTAGTTATTCTTAAATGCACTCTTCTCTCTTAGCTGAAGGTCTTTATTTGTTTGTACCCATGGCCTGTGTGGCACAGCGCAGCATAGCCGCTCGGCATCTCATCGCACCAGGAGGTTTTGGATGGTTGCTCCGGACACATTTACACTTGTCCAAAGTATTCGCTATTTCCTTCTCTAATGTACAGTACTTCCTAAAACAAAAATAACATGAGAATCTATTAAGTCAACTTTGTGAACTTTATTGAAATTTCTTTCTTAAATGCTTAACCTCTAAAGACATAATAGACGACGCATTGTGTCTTGCGTAGATCTATGTACCGACATACAAGAGGTTAATAGGTAAAAGGTAACAGTCGTGGACTCTTATAGTAACTATCATAAAAAAGTGGGTCTATGCCCTAACATATTTTTTTTTTGTATGCAGCCAATATGTTGGATTATCCTTTCGTATTATAATTATAATTCAGACATTAGACGTTAAACTTACTGGCTATACTTCGGAAAGTACTTTAACTTTTCTGATGCCATGTTACACTTCCTAAGTGACGGGTGAAGTGTTTTAGCTCCTAAAGCTATCTGATAGCCGGTCGTGTAGTAGGCGATCCAGTGCTCAGATCCAGGACTCACAGCTGTTCCATTCATGGTAACGTCAACGAAGTAATTGCCTGTCTGAAGAGCCACCTAAGAAAATAAGAAATATTATGAACGTTGCTTTATATATCTTAGATAAAAAATTGTATGTCCACAATGTACATACATACAAGAATTAATTTCTCCTGAACATCTGGAAATTAGAAACTTGCCCGGCTTTGACGGCTTGATTCATGAATGTGATGGTGGTTAAAATGTAGGGGTTGCGGTTATGAAGCAGTCATGCTAGCTAAGGAGGAGGCGGAGCGCGTGAGGGAACGAACCTCCTCACGACCCGGCCGTCGCGAGAGACACTCTGGGCGTCGGAGATCGCGAGACAAACTCCGGCCACCGTAAGCGCGGGCCTACGGACGGCGAGCACAGGTGACTCACCGCCCGACCAGAACCAGGCCCGAGCGTACGGCGCGTTGCGTTTCGCGCGCGCCTCTAGGAGCCATCAGACCACCACAGATGGGGCCTAACAGGGCTGATGCCGATACGGACCCGCGGAAGACTTAACGGGTTGCCGGGGCTCCGGCCCGAAGTGCAGGAGTAGGAACGGGGTGGTTTTTAGTCAGTAAGAGTCTGACACTCCCTCCCGCCTCGCCTGGGCGGGAGAAGTCATTGGATGATTTCCCCCCCTCAAAAAAGGGGTTGCGGTTATAGGTACTCACCCATTTATAAGAAAGGTCAACAGATGTAAGAGTCTGGCTCTGGTTGATGGCCAGCATCAGGCCACTGGTGTATCCGAACAGTTTTGTATACCACTTCTTCCTTGATAACGTTTGCTTTATGTTCAATTCGTGGTTCTCCATTTCTCTGCAGAATATTCGTTTCATAATGATAGCAGGAGTTAAAGGTGGGAAAAGTAGAATGATCGCTTTGATATAAAATATCGATCACCGGACAAGCAAAGTTACACTTTATTGTTTGACTGGCAGTATTACCTTCTCAATGATCTCCCGTTGAAGACACAACAGAAACCATCTCCTGTGAACTCCATTTCGAACAAATCTGAACAGTTGACTAAACGGCGATTCCAGCGGCATCTGTTGTACAAACTACGTTTACACATCCTTACTATTAAAATTTTGACTTTTAAGGTCATCGAACACCTAAAGAGTACGGCTCGGGCACGGCTCAAGTATGGCTCGGGCACTCGGTTTTTTGATTTGTAAACAATACAAAAAAGGTTGTAAACGTGACTTATTGGCTACCGGGCGGAGCCGTACTGGAACGGTGTTCGATGGTTCTGATTTGATTGGAATGAATAGTTTGATTTTGACTAAAGTGAAGATTTACGGATTCCATACTTGATAAGCGTCTCTTCACAGGTAGCGGTAAGTAATCTCCCAGCTGTCTCCACAGTAATACTATTGTAGTCCAGGAGATGTTCCACTCGCATCAGGTCTGATAGTTTATACAACATGTCGAGGGAGTAGAACGCAGACAGTTGTGGAAGTATCCTTCTGGCTATAGTCGCATTTATGCCAGGAGGATAGTTTCTGTACAAAAGAATTTGCTAAGACTAATGACAGCACCTTAAATATAAATTATTAGACTTTTTTTTGACATTTTTGAGATGATCCCCGGCTTAATTTAGTAATTTTAAAATGACAATGCTCAAATACGCATTATAAGGGCTAGGCCTTGCTACAAGAAATGGCACTGGTCTCGGGAAACTAGTACATTTAAGAAAACCACTTACAGTTTAGCCAAAAAGTTGTCCATCTTCTGTTCAACGAAATTGATTTCAGGGCACACGACGACAGAAGGAAAGTCTCTCTTCTCGAGGAACTTGTCATGTCTCACCATGAAAGTGGGCCTGTCCAAGTACCGGTTGACAGTAAGTACTACCAGAGCGATGGCGGGACCTAACAGGATCAGTAAAGTTGGGGCCCAAATATATCTACAAGATAACATAAATATGGCGACATGATTTAATTTATCTTTCTTACAAAGAAAATAAAATTGAACATAAAGTACTGTGAAATAAAGTTAAATTCTATAAAAATACGCTTTAAATCTTGTAACAAAAGACTCGAAGAAAAATACTAATCATGTACTATAATAGGCTAGACCCATTAATGTCTAGATAGAATAAATCTGAGAGCTTTTTAGAACATCTGTGGAGCTAACTATCTGGAAATAATTGATTTTATTTCAAGTCTGAATACTACGCATTTATCACATCTGAATAGTAAGAAAATCGAGAGAAAAACGCGACGTTTTTCTATAAATTATTGGGAATTCTTTTCTTTTCAAGAAATTGAATTGAATAAATTATTTTTGAAGTCTTATAACTAATGTTTATTCGACGTTAAAGCGACTGTCAAGCAATATAATTATGATATAATCACGGGGTAGATTATTCTCAGTATTAAGTATGACTGAAGTAATAACTACAATACGTATCTGTAGACAGTCTTCGATTAGTAACCAACCTGGAAGCTTTGTCACCCAATTGGTTTGCTCCATGGAATTGCGCGTGTTTAAGGAGTTGAAGTGAATCCATTTTCACTTTGTTTAACTGTTGTGGACTCTCTGACTCCTTCATGACTAGTACTTGGCTGATTTCACTTACGAACCAAGAGGTAATTTAATAAAGGCCTTTCATTATTGTTTGAAGTGACATCTATCACAATGTCACAATTACACTTTCGGGAAATATGTAGTTTAAATAAATTCTCTGATTTCGTATCTACGAGAAAATAAGGTAACTGATATATTTTCTGCTCGCTTACTGCACTGGTCGTTTGTAATAATAATTCACGTAAGTCCGTCGACGATATCGTGTTAATTCCGTGCCCACTCGACAACTGCGTTCCGAATCAAAAGGGTAAATTAATTTTATTACTCCCAAGCGAATCAATCACTTTGACAATGAACTGCGATAGTATCGCCGGCTCCCGTCCCATTATATTGTAAATCAGTTTTTTATTACTTCGTTATAATTTATGCATGTATTGGTCTATTTGTGGTATTGCTGGTATAGCCTCGTATGCATGGAAGAGCGATTTAAGGTACAGCTTCGTTTCAGGAATATTTTTTTTTAAACTGCTATAAAACTGGAATGCTAGTATTAACAGCTAGCTCTAGATTATTTATTAGATCTTTGACTATCAGAAATGTTTGATGTTTAAGACATGAATAGATTTAAACTACTTTCTTCTTCACATATTGGCAGTGAACACATTGCAGAATACCGACCTAGTTTTCTTAGTTTTAAGTTATTAAAGGTTTTACTATCTTGGAGCCTATAATTAACAGACAAATGTTTTACTGCTCCGTTGACATTTACGAGTGCCAGTGAAAAACTACAGGCTGTTTTTATTTTATAGTTTCCCCCATTTTACCCTATACGAGTTGTAAATAACCTTGTTTTATACCTTCACCTCTCCATTAACGGTTCTCCTTTATTTACATATTTTTGCAATATTACTTTATCCACCCTAGGTGATTGTAAGATGTTTCGTTCGATTTCCAAGTCAAATAACAGTAATGTTATGTCTAGTTCTTGGGCTCGCTGCCATTGCAGCGGTAAGGCCCCTCTTTGAGGAGTGGCTTGAGAGACGCTACGGCGTCCTCACCTACAACCTGATGCAGGTCCTCACCGGACATGGGAGCTTCGGGAGGTATGATGGGGCGGGAGGAAACGCCCGGGTGTCAACACTGCGAGAACCGCCCTGAGGACACGGTGGAACACACCGTAGGAGCATGCACTGCGTGCTCAGGGATGTGATCGGCGGCGGCGACCTCTAGCGTCCGGCCCTAGTACGGGCCATGATGCGGAGCGAAGAGACCTGCGATGCCATTTCCTCCTTTTGCGAAGCAGTCATGCTAGCTAAGGAGGAGGCGGAGTGCGTGAAGTAGCGAAGCGCCGGTTCCTCACAGCCCAGCCGCCGCGAAGTGTCACTCCGGGTGTCGGGGATCGAGGGACGATCTCCGGCCACCGTAAGCGCGGGCTTGCGGACGGCGAGCATGGGTGGCTCGCTACCCGAGCAGAACCAGACCCGAGCGTGCGGCGCGTCGCGTTCCGCGCACGTCTCAAAAAGCCATCAGACCGCCACGGCTAAATAGGGCTGATGCCGATACGGAACCGCAGAGGCCTTAACGGGTTGCCGGGGCTCCGGCTCGAAGGGCAGGAGTAGGAACGGATTGGATTTTAGTCAGTAATCTCAGTAATTTTAGTCAGTAAAGTCAGTCTGACACTCCCTCCCACCTCACCTAGGCGGGAGAATTCATTCGATGATTTTCCCTCCTTAAAAAAACAAAATGTCTAGTTCTAGTAGGTTACCTACTTACTAAAACTAGACATTTTGTTTTATAAGACATTTTGTTAAAGAAAAGTTCAGTTGTCATAAATATAGTATTTAGTTTGATCTCATTAGGTTAGATGGCGTTACTAAACTCATATTCTAACATTAAAATAGAACGTTACTTGAGTTTTGAAGCGGAGGATAGCCAAAAAATTTAATAATAAATAAAAACGTCCGTTAATATATCACAGCGATGGGACAGTTGACGTGTTTTAATGTGAGTGAATTATAATAAGAAGATTAATGTTTGTGAACTGTGGTTAACGCACAGAAACCAGTTTCTTTGTGTTGCAGTGGAACGCTAAAGAAAATTATGTAGTTCTGTAGAATATGTTGTAAGTTATGTCTATTTAAAATACCATTTAATAGCTGGTACCATGTCTCCGTTGTTCATATTTGGTAGTCAGCTATTTTCAACTACAAATATTCACATGTAAATTATTGAACAAGTTTTGGCATGACAACGTTAATTTAACAGGGCTATAATGGAATGGAGTGCATCTAAAATAATGCACACTGCCTTCGATGGAGAGGCTCTGGATATAAAAATATCGCCTCAATTTCTGTCAAACTCTGGGTCCCGTTAATGCATCGGGCCAGGACTGGCGTTGTAAACATTTTCGTTGTTTGTGTCTTTTACGCTAATCTGTTTCTCTTATTCTTATTTTATACATAACATAACATCACGCCTTTTATCCCCGAAGGGGTAGGCAGAGGTGCATATAGAAGTTCTTATTTTATATTTGGGATATTATCGATTTTTATGGAACTGTATTTTTAAGGTTGTTTAGTATTTAATATAGATTAGTAAAGTAAGCCAGATATTAGTCTTAATGTCTTAAAGATGACTTAAACTTAATAAATGTAACTATTTGTAATTTTATAGGTACAAAACAAATACCTTAACAACTAGTTTAGTTTAAGACTAAAAACCTATTTCTTAGTTAATTAAAGAACATAGAATATTTATTAGTATTTAACTTTTAAGTCAAGAAAGCCCATCGGAAAACAATAATAGCTTCTTTACATTATTTCAAATGCTTAAGTGAAAATGTTGGTGGCCTCTGCTCGCATGATACAGTAGTTTCATCCGAGCAAGTAAAGTTGGATAGAATATTCTATTATTATTCACTTCCAATGCTTTTAGTCGACTAAATAGTTCCCAGTATTCCAACTATTGACGTCTGGAAGTATCGTATGCAGAATGAATTTAGTTAGCACTATGATGCATGAATATGTACTGGAATTATAAAATAGTGTTACATAGTTCGTTTGCGGCTTTATGTGTGTATTTTTATTTGCAACTTACGTGAAATTGTCATCTAGTGCATGAGATATAAAAGGCCTGTAATAGTGTCATTAAAACAGTACTATTGAATTTTTGTTTGCTCTTCTTTTTATATTGATTTACAGGGATCTGTCTACTCTCCTCTGTAGTTTTTGTCGTTTTTAGGTTACAGAAGCACTCGTTTAGGATGTGTCTTATGACATAGACCTATGTGAATTTACATTCATACCTATGTTAGGTCAAGTTACGGCGTGTAAAGTGTGATGAACGCACTAGTACTGACAAATATATTTATCTTGAGGAAAACCTGTTTATGTTTGTTACAAACAAATAACCTAATAATATGTATTCTTCGTAAAACAAAAAAGATTATATAAAATATCCTTTATACAGTGTTTCTGAGAACGAATCGCTTGATATATTATTTAACGCAGTCTTACGTTTTCTTTCCTTATGTGAGAGCTAAGTAGGCAAATTGCTTGCCCTCGGGACATTCTTCACTTTTTTATTCTGATAGCTGTGTGCCGGGCGCACCGTGAAATATTCAATAGCTGCCGTAACAAAGACTTATAACATGTTCAATCTTATAGAGCTCCTCCTTTCTATTTTGTTTAGTTGTCAAAATTAATAGCTACTCAGCAGCTGTAGCCAAATGCCATTTAGCGCTTGTCTACTTGTAGAATAGAAAACCGAATCCTAAGGGATTGACGTAAATTCTGACACTTTGACAAGTGTTATCCCCATACATTTAGTTTTCTACTCTCTCGGTAGACAAGCGCTAAAGTGGCATTCAGCTATAGGTAGGCACAGTTTACATGTCATTCCTCGGATCACATTCAAAGTCAAAGCATTTATTTCAACTAAAGCATACTGGATCTATAGTTTGAATTTCTCTGCTGGGTGATACTCAAATCGCAGAACAGTAGTAGCAAAGTTTAAAATAGAGGCACACGTTATACATTCTGAAATCGAAGATGTTGATTTATTAAAAGAGTTACAAGGGAGTTTCTTGCTCGTTCTTCTCCACTCGAATCTACAATTGGAACGAGCACCTAGCTTCACAGACGAACTAAAATTACGCTTTTATTAAATTTGGACCCCCTTTTTTATGGCATAAGCCGGTAAACGAGCAGACGGATCACCTGATGGTAAGC